GCAGGATCCCTATTTGGTATGCTCTCCCTCCTGGCCTGGCTGCACAGGAATTGCTCAGGTGCCACTGCAGGCTCTGAGAACAGCTCAGCCTGACCGCTCTATTCCATGTCCATCTCTGTCCAACTGTCCAGGCTGACCAACAGCTCCAGCAGGGATCCTATGGGGTCCCAGAGACCAGCTCAGACATAGCATCTCTGACCTCCCACCTCCCACCAGTGCTAGACTGACACCACCCATTCAGCTCAGGCTGCTTGCTGCTCACTCCACACAGTGTGGAAGGTGAACACCACCTGTTGTACACCCCCCTGCCTGCTGCACGTGTGCACATGCACACACATTCTCTGCCTACTGCACACACACACACACTGCCTGCTGCACACACATTGCCTGATACATACATACACTGCCTGCTGTACACACATTGCCTGATACACACACACTGCCTGCTGCACATCACCTGCTGTATACCCCCCCACTACCTGTTTCATACAAGCAGTTTGCCGTACACCATCTGCTTGCTGCACACACCACACTGCATGCACATACACTGCCCGATTCATACAAACATATGCTGCCTACTGAACACACCAACACTGCCTGTTTGCTGCATACTTCCCTTGCTCAACACATAGCCCATAAGGCACACACTAATTGCTGTACACACCACACACACACACAGCCTGCCACACACACCACCTGCTGTATATACCCGACCCCACACACTGCCTGATGCATAAACACACAGACACACTGCCTGCTGCATACACAGCCCATAAGGTACACACCACCTGCTGTATATAACACACTGCTCCTGCACTGCCCAATGCTTGCATGCACATGCATGCGTACACATACACATACCGCACCACACACTTCACACACACACTGCCTTACACATGTCACACAGAGCACCCACACCACACGTGGAGTGCACATTGTCTGATGTATCCACGATCACAAGACAAATGCTGCTGCCTGCACTCAGAACCCTTGGAACCAGGACCCCCAGGACAAGCCAGAAACAGCTCATCTCTGCTCCACAGACTCTTTCTCCCTGCACACTGCCCCCTGCATTCCTCCCAGAAGCTACCCAAAGTCACCAGGGCCCCACCCACACCTCTGGCTGTCCAGCCTCCTCCTGGGGCTTTTCTGACCAGTCCTGCCTGGCCTGGAACCCACTGCCCCAGGTGAATCCATGACCTCTAGTCCGAGCTCCAGGACCCTCACTACCCCCCACCTCCTGGACGGAAAGGCCGAGAATCAAGGCCTGCCTCCCCTCCCCCTCCCTGGTGAGGGAAAATGTCAGATTCTCTGTCTCAGTGGCGGTAGCGGGCGGGTTGGAGGGGGAGTGATTCAGCTGCCGCCTCAAGAGTGCGGAGCGAGAAGAGCTTTTCCTGCCATTACCCGGCAAGGGAGAGGCTGGCGCGCTAATGGCTTCAATTACCACTCAGACAGGGATGCTGGGCGGCGGGCCCCTGCGCTGTCACAGCCCTGGACGGGCTCACCCCCAGCCAGCGTGTGCTGGGTACCCCACCTTGTGCCCAGCCCCATGGGGGTGGGGAGGCTGAGGGCTGGCACAGTGAGGCAGGGACTCACCAGACCCCACCAGTGCAAAGGCATAAGGTGTCCCAGAGGCCGCAGCAGTGGGGGCCGAGTGCAGGGAGCCGAGTGCAGGGAGCCGGGCCTGGCACGGAGTGAGGCAAGGGTGGAGGCACTGAATGGACTTGCAGGCCTGGGCTCTCTTTTGGGGGTGCACTGGTCCCTCACCTAAGCCAGGTGAGTCACCTCAGGCAGCCCTCAGCCACTCTCCTAAAGGGCCCAGCTTGTGGTGAGTATGTACACAAACCCTCGGGTGCTGGAGGGGTATGTGCTGTGTGTGACACAGGTAAGGGACTCAATTCTTATTCCTCAGCTGCCAAACCAAATTCACCCTCTCCCCACCCCTCCTTAGGCCCTGTGATGGCCTCCCAAGAATGGCCCTGGCTCTCCCCTGGCCCCAGTCAAGCCGTCCTTCTGCCCAGTTCCTGCATGCACTCCAGCTTTCCTGGCCCTCCTAGGAGGGAGGGGTGGGATGGGGGTGGTCACAGTCTGAGCTGCTTCACTCTGGCCCCGCCCCCAGCACTCCCTTCTGCCAAGCCCAAAGCTGGTCAAGGTTACACAAACCAACACGGTGGTAAGTCAGCATTTTGTCTTCCTGGTGCTGTGTTTCAGGAGCGGGAGGGGCTCACTAGTCCCAAAGCTCTAGCCCCTCCAAGGGAGCATGAGGGCAGAGACCTGCTCCACTCTCTCCAGCCTCATCAAACACCTCCCATAACCCAGAAGCACAAACACATACCCCTAACCCCTGACACAGAAACCTTTATCCAGGAAGGCTCCTCCTAATGGAGAGAACCCCTGCAAGTCTGTGTCCTCACCCCAGGTCCTGAAACACCACCCTAACCCTCCTCATTCCTTTAAAAGATAAAGCTGCCCTGGGCAGTGGTGGAGGTAGGAGAGCTTCCCAGACTGAGGACCTGGGGCTCAGCGGCTTTTGGGGGGAGTCCTCTTTCAATACTAACAAGGAGGCCCTGTTCCCCAATCTAAGAGTCCAAAAAGATGCCTTCCAGGGTGGAAACCACAGTTCTGGACCTTCAGCCACTCCCAAATGCCAGGGGAGGACAGATGGCTCCCTACTGGGGCAAATACCAAAAGAGGGAGGGCAGTGTGGAAATACTCATCCCCAGATCACAAGTGGGGAATCTGATGTCAGGAATGGCAGGAAAAGCCTGAGAACACTCAGCAACCAATGATCCCGGCCCAGGGCCTGTCCCCTGGGCTCCTGTCCCACAGGTAAGCTCCCCCATGGGAGTGGATGGTGGGGACTGCACTACCCAGATGATGCCAGGCAGCATGGAAGCCAGGCACCATCATCTCACATGCCCAAGCCTCAGGATTGCAGCTTCCAGCCCAACAGCAACTTCCATTCAGCTGGAATTCTGGAAGTGCCTAACTACATTGCTTTTAATCCTCCAAACCAGCTTGGGTGGTAGGTAGTACAGCCCTGCCCTGTTTACAGGTGGAGCAAATGAGGCTCAGAGGCATATTATTGGCCCAAGGTCACCTGGTGAGTAAGGACATGGTCCAGAATCCTGTTCTTAACCACTGTCCTCTGTGCACTGTCCTCCACTAGGCCCCTCTAACCTGGAGGGCCTAGTGAAGTGCTGCAGGATCCACCAACTCACACCAAACACACGGATGCAGAAGAGTTCCTGAATGGATGCAAGCGTGAACACAAAGCCAGAGTAAAAATGGCCAATGTGAAAAGATGCTCAACTGCTCTTGTAATCAAAGAAATGCAAATTAAATTGAGATGCCACTTTTTGCCTATTAACTTGGCAAAGATATCTTTTTAATGATAATTCCCACTGCTGGTGAAGATGTGCCGAAAAGAGGCCCTCTTATGCCCTGCTTGGCAGGAGTATAAACTGACACAACCTTCTGGAAATACTGAAAGGCTTAAAAATGCATGTGCCCTATGACCTAGCAATTCTACTTCCATCAATCTAGAATAAGGAAATAATCAGGAAGGTAAACACATATATGTACAAGGATGTGTGTCGCACCTAGTGCGCTTATAAAAGCAAAAAAACAGGAACAACATATGTGTCCAACAATAAGGGAATGGCTAAATAAATTAGGGTACTTCCAGTTGACACCTTACTCAAGAGCCATTAATGATGCAGAAAAATATTTAACAGCAAGGAAGAGGTTCACACTGTTGTTTTTTGTTTTTTGTTTTTCTCCTTCAAAAAAGCAGTCTACAAATCACTGGGCATTATGTGATCCCATTTACATACATACATACCTATGCATGCACAGAAAATGTGCTGCAAGGTAATAACCAAATGTTAGTAGTAGAGGTACGATAATGAGCCATTTAGATTTTTTCCTATGTGCTATTCTATACTTTGCAATTTTTCAACAGTGAACAGGTATTGGTATTGTACTTAAAAAAAGAAAACAATCAATGCTATATTTTGAAAATACACATACAGACATATTCACACTGATGAACCCATAGGTTGGAGACTGATCATGTCACTCCCCACTCTGCTGTGGCTCCCTATGTCCCCAGGAAAGTGTTCATCATTTCTCAGCTGGAGCCTGTGAGATCTGCCCTCCACCCTCTCCACACTCAGGCTGAACTGCTCCCCCCGTCCCCAAAAAACCCAAACTGAACTATCAGAGTTCTCTGAAAGCTCCATTCTCTCTGCCTCTGGGTCTCAGCGCATGCCTACCTGCCAGCTGCCACCCCCCATCCCCCACTGTACGACAGATTTGGCTGAGACACAGTCCCCTCCTTCTCTGGACTTCCCTAGCCACCTGGGTTTCCCCTGTGGAACTTACTGGAGACTTAGCATCTTGAAGGCAGCACCCAGGCTAAATGATCCTCTAGACTTCAAGACAATCCAGGGAGTGTTTGTGAACGAATGGAGGAGCCACCAAGTGAGAGAAGATACTAAAATCCACATATGGAGCCCAGCCCCCAGCCCGGGGCCCTTGCTCATAGGGGCAACAAGGAACACACCTAACACCTACAGCCAGGCTCCACATGGAAATCGGATCCACTACCACAGCCACGTAACCCAGGGCATACACAGCTACAGTGGCACACCTCATGTCAGATTCCAGACCCGACCCGAGCAGTGACCCAGCTCAGCAGGAAATTACAAAGGCATCATGCACACAGCTGGCTTGAGCATAAGCCAAACAACCCAGGCCAGTCCAATGGCCATCCTTGTCCACAGCTGACTTTCACCAGCCCCAAGATGGCCAATCGTCCTTTCTGCCAAATGCATAAGGGCCCATGGCGGGGCCAGGGCTGGCTGGCTCTCCCACACCTTAGTCTAGCAGCCCGCCATGCCATATCCCTCTCCAGCACGCACCTTCGAGCACTGAGAGCTTGGCACTAGTGTTGATCTCTCCCAAACTGTTGGTGGCTGTGCACTCGTAGATGGCTTCATCTCGCTGCACCCGCAACGGCTGGATCCGCAGCACTGACCCTGCTCCGTCGTCAAATTCAATTACCTGTAAGAGGATAGACATGCACTCACAGCCTGCTCAGGACCTGGGGACCTGCTCAGGGTCAGCTGTCCTCCTACTTCCATAAGTCCCATGGGGAGGGAGACTAAGAGGAGAGAATGTAGGACCACACCCTGGAGTAGGCAGACCCTGAGCCCTGCTTGCCCCTTCCCACCCGAGGACACACCTCGAAGCGCTGGGAGCTGACTTTCTTCCCCTTCTTCATCCATGTGATGCGTGGCTTGGGTTCCCCTGTGGCTTGGCACACAAAGGAGGCAACCCCTCCTGATAGTCCAGTCTGGTCCTCAGGGACTTTAATGAAGACAGGCTTGCCTGGAAGAGATGGAGATACCAAGTCACTAGGGCATGGTCACTACAGGCATGGCCAACACTACAGGAGACCGTCATGGTGGGGGTGGGGGTGCAACAAAGACCCTTAGAGAAAATAATGACACCTAACCCTTATATTTTGGTACTTCAAAAAGTTCATTGAAAGATTCATAATATCTTTTAATTCTATTTTTCCACGAACTTTCTGAAGTACCATCGTATAGTGCTTAATATGTACCAGGCACTGTTCAAAGAGCTTAACATTTATTAACTCTTAAGCATGTGAGGTGGGTGTTATAATTACATCTGTTTATAGAGAAGAAAATCAAGGCATAGAGAGGTTAAGGGATTTGTCCAACGTGACACAGCTGGTAAGTGGCAGAGCTGAGATCCAAATCTAGGTGTTCTGAGACTGGAGTTCATGCTTTAACCACTACACTCTTCCGTCTCCCACTCTCCAATCAATTCCAAGCTCTAGGACAAAGGGCATGCCGGAGAGCTGCCGGGCAGAGCCTCAGCACCTCCCTAACACTTGTCCCTCCCCCTGCTCTTCGTCTCGGTGATGGTACCTCCATCCACCCCAAGGCTTGAGTCAGAAACCAGGACTCCTCCTCTCCTCCAGCCCCCACATACCAGCAGTCCCAAAGGCCTAGACATTCCAGCTCCTAAGTGTCTCTGGACATCTTCCCAGGTGAATGCTTTCCTGTAATTCTGCCCCTCCCACCCCCACCCCTACTGACTTGGTTACTGTCTTCTGACAGTCTGGACATTTCCCCAAGGTGACCACAGGGAGCCAGGGGGAGGGGAAAAAAAGAAGGGGGCTCGAACATTGTACTGCCACACCCATGTCACCTTGGTACACAGCCAGGGCCAAGCCACAGCACCCACCCCTATGAATCCCCCGACCCAGGGTCACAGGACCAGAGAAACCTGAATCGTTAAGATGTAGCAATGCCTCGTTTAATCCTGACAGCAGATCCATTTCCTATTAATCAGGCCAATGAACAGCTCCAGGAAGGGCTAATACTGTGAGAAATAACCTTTCAGACCTCCTACTTAGTGCCCGTGAGCCCAGGCCCAACCTGGTCCCTGGCACAGAAATGTGTGTGTAATGACAGTCCTTCACCAAGCACCCATTCTGCACCAGTTACTTTATCTCATTTAGTTCTCCCTCGTTATTATCCCCAGTTTACATGCTCAGAGAAGTCAAGTCACTTGCCCAAGGTCACAGCCAGTGAATGGCACATTTGGGACTTGAATTCAAGCCTGTTTGACTCCAAAACACCTGGCACAAAACAGTTCACACCCAGGCTGGCTGGTTAGCTCATCTGGTTAGAGCACGGTGTTTTATCACTAAGGTCAAGGGTTCGGATCCCTGTACTGGATAGCCACACACACACACACACACACACACACACACACAAAATCAGTTCACATGGGATTGTAGGGTGTCTTGTCAAGAGCAGGGCCGAAGCCAGACTAAAAAAGGCCAAGGAGTGAGTGGGAGGTGAGGAGTGGAGAGGAGAGCACAGGTGACTATGTAAAGAAGGTTGGCTGACGGGGAAAAAAAGAAAGCAGCTGGAGGGGATGAGGGTTGGAGAGAGGTTTCTAAATTCTTGTTTCTTTCTTTTTTTGAAGATACGAAAGATGATGTTTAAATACTGATGGGAAATAGCCAGCAGAGAGGTAGAGTGTGCTGATCCAGTGGGAGAGGCGGGATAGCAGGTGAGGCAGAGTCACCAGAGGGGAGGGTCCGGGGGCTCTGGAGGGTCTGTGTAATTATTAAGCAAGTCACTCACCATCTCTGAGCCTCTATTCTCTCATTGACAAAGTAGTGCTATTGATACAGGGGTCTGTGCAGACGAGATGTGATGTCTGTAGACTGCTCGTGGTGGGCCTCCCATGAGGGCAGCCATCACTCTGGCTAGCATTATCAGTCTTTAATCCATAAGGTGGGCAGTACTATCATGCCCATTTTAAAGATGGGGAAACGGAGGCTCAGAGGGTTAAGTGACCAACAAGCCAGTGATCTGGGGGTGGAGCAGAGTTTGATCCAGCCTTCTAAATCCTAAATTCATCATGGGGCACCTACAGCCTCCCTGGAGAAGGGAAACTTGTGACCTACTGATTCTGCCCTTGGGGGGCAGACAAGGGCCACTGACTCGGGGAGCCAGGGCAGGGTGGGTGCAGGGCCAGCCCTGGTGGAGAAATACACACAAGCCTGGTGGGGCCAGAATGACATGGGGACACAGGGCTCTGGAACCCCTCAGTCTGTCTTGCCCTTCCCCATGCCCTCTGAAGGAGGCTTCAGACTCTCCCAGTGTATGGTTGTCTACAGAGCTGTTTGCTGCTCCTCTCAGACAGATCCTCCCAGAACTCTCCGCACTCAGGCTCCACTGGGGGTGCCTCCTGCTCCTCAATCCCCACAACCGTGCACCCCTCCTCCACACCTGAGGACCTCCAGACAGCAGCTCTGGCGCTCCATCTGAACTGCCACCGCCTTAGTCCAGACACCATCTTCCCCTGACTGGACACCCCACTGGCCTAACAAGCTGGTGTCCCTGCCCCCCTGCAGTCTTGCCCCCTCCCTCCAGTCTATTCTCTATTCAGCAGCCAGAGCAAAGTGACAGCCTCCCCCCTGACCAAAACCCTCCAAACACCTCCCACTTCTCTTAAACTGTTGGAGCTGGAGGGTTAGAACTGTTGGTTGGAGTGCCCCACTCCCACCCCCCACCCCCCAAAAAACACAAAACAACAAAAAAATGAAAACTATCATGGCAGACAAAACCCTGCCAGGTCTGACTCAACCGCTCTCCCCAGAGCCCTGGCTTTGGATCCCCTGGGTGAGTAATGTTCCCTGAGGCCTCAGGGCCTTTGCATAAGCCTCTTTATCCACTAACTCCAGGGAACCTCTCAGACTACCTCCTTACCCACCAACTCCTATCACCTTTCTGATCTCAACTTAAACACCATCTCCTCGGAAAATCTTCCTCTCTGACTCCCCCACCCCCCAACATTAGCTCAGTTCCTGGTTTTAAGCTCCCTGGCAGCTCCCTTGGTCTCTCATAGCACTGCTCACAGTTTGTTATGTACATGTGTGAGGTTATAACTCTTGCTCACAGTTTATTATGTGCATTGTGAGGTTATTACTTTTTCCACATTTCTGGTGAGTGTTTGATTAATAGCTGCTTCCCCGCATAGAACATAACCCTGGGCAGGGCAGACACCATGCCTGTCTTGTTTCCTGTCCTGTCCCAGCCTCTGACCCGGTTGCTGGCACACAGGGTGCAGAAAGAAAGAAGGCATGAGTGAGGAAGGAACACCAGAGGAGGGCGAGACTGCGGCACCTCACACACCACGGCATGGGAAGGGGAGAGAAACCCGGGTAGAAAGTCCCCCTCCAGCTCCTGCCTCAACGTGTCCGCGGCAGAACCCCGAGGCTGGAACCTGCTGAACCGGAATGGCCGGCGAGCGCGCCGGGGCGGGGCCTCCGCGCCAAACAAAGCGCCGGGAGCCTCCGGGGAGCGCAGCCAGGTATGGGTCGCGCGAAGGGGAGCGGCCCGGTGCTGTGCCCACGGCCTGGCACCCTTGAGGAGGCCGGGCGGGAGCCAGCGCCCGGCCCACCCCGCAGACCCGGCAGGACTGCTCGCGCTGGTGCGGCCCGGGGGCGGGACAGGCGGGTCCCCGTCCCCGCCAGGCCACGCCTCCGCTCCCCCTGGAAGCCTCCCCAACCCGGACGCCTCGCGCAGCACCCAGCCAGGCCCGCTCGTCCTGGCCCGAGTTCTGCCCGCCCTACCCCTTTGTTCACCAGAGGATCTCGGGGACCCCAGTCTGACCACATCTCTCCTCAGCTACTAATTCTGTCCTAACATCTGTCTCCCCACTCCCCTCTCAAGCTCGCTCCTGCTATCCTCTCCATGCTCACCTTTTTTACAACTTCAACAAGTATTCTTTGAGCACCTATTACGACCCAAGCACTGTGCTGAGAACACAGCCCGCACCCTCATGGACTCACCCCCCACCCCCAGGCACCTCCTTGGCCCTCTCACCTGTCCCTCCCCTCAAGGCGCTGCAGGAGGCTGCTCTACATCCCACAGCCCTTGGGTTTCCCATCCCAGCACTGATCACATCCCACAGTGACTGGTCAGGTCCCCAGGAGGGCCAGCAGAGCTAGGCCAGTTTGACCACTCTGTCCAGTGCCTGACGCACAGCTGGTATTCGGTGAGGGTCTGAACAGAACTCTTAAGACCGGACCAACAGGGTGCCATCTGAACACGCCAGGAAGGGCTTTCTGCCACAGTTGCCTGCTGCCACACAGCCTGACCCCACTAGTGGGGCTCCCTGCCCCCACCACACAGTGGTCATGGGCCACACAGCCCTTTGGGCAGCAGCTCCCAGTGGTGTGCCCTGGGACATCCTCAGGCAGCGCAGGCCACGGAACCCATGCAAGGTGGGAGGAAGTGACTTAAAAAAGGAAACAAGTGGAATCAGCCTGGGGCAGGGGGTTGGGGGGTGCACACAATTCGCAGGGAGGATGCAGGGGTCCACACTCAGGGACAGCCAAACTGTCCACATCCAAGGCTCCTCCATGGGGAGACTGACTGCTATTTTGTGCCTTCCCTGTGGAGTCCATATCCACACGTACACGAACAGAACACGGAAGCAGACGGCAGACACGGCGAGGGGAGGGGCAGGGAGGGAGCTCCTGGAGAGGCGGATTTCCCAAGGCCCTGAACAGCCTAATGAGCTGGGGACTCATTAATGAGCTCCTGTGACAGCTCCTGGCACCCCCCTGGAGAGAAGCCCGCTCAGAGACAGCCCTGGTTCTCGAGGACACACCACAAGGCCCAGGTTATGGCCTCGGATAGAGGGAGTACATACTAAGTGCCAGGTGCCTTGTCAAAGTAACCTCAGTTAACCTTTCCAGGTAGGAGTGACTACCCCATTGTGCAATAGGAAAACAGGCCCAGAGAGAGAAAGCAACCTGCCCCTGCTGGAAGTTCCACAAATGGCAGAGTCTAGACGGGGCCACCCGTAAGAATGAGGGGGAGGGCACTGCAGAACCTGTGTGCGGCACCTTGCCATGTTCCAGCTCCACAGGCTTTGGCGGGGAGAAGGGACCCAACACACACCCTCAGCTCCTCATGCCCATGCCCACCTGTATCTGCTGCTCCCTCCGACACACCCCTTCAGCCATCAGCATCCTTTTCTGGGCTCCTATGATTCCAAGTAACTGGGCCATAACTAGGGCCTCACTCCCAGCTGGTCCTGGGTCCCTGTCTCCGTCCTATGCTGTCTGCGGTTCTCACTGTGGCTCTCCCACGAGCTCCAAAGAAAAGCTGTCTGGGACGGAAGCGCATTCCTGCTCCCCCCTCCAATCTCACATCATTATGTAATACCCCCATCAGTAAATGCCCACTCACCCTTCAGGGCTCCCCTCTTCCAGGAAGCCTACCAGCTTCTTCTCAAGATGCTTAGGTCATTGCCTCTGTGCCAGTCCACCCCAGCCAGCACTGTCTGCCCTCCAGCCTGTGCCTCCAAACTGCGGGGCCTGCTGGAAGGCAGGCCTGTGTGGATTCTTCCTGTCCGAGCCCCTGACACGTACATGAGATCAGAAGAACCTCTACCTGGGCTCAGGACTGCCTCTGGCCTCACAAGCCTCACCTCCGGAGAAGCCATAAAGCCCTGGGCTGAGGGAACTGCACCAAGTGGGGGTCCAGCCCTAGTGCATGCCCAGGTCTCCCCTGGAGCTGACTCGGCATCGATGCTGGGGCCTCTGGGCTAACTCCTGGCAGCTGTCTGTCCACCCCCCTTCCCTCCGCTCCCCTCAGAGGCCAGGGCCCCCATTCATTTGTCTCGTTAAGAGGCCTATAGAAACACATTTGTCCGCTCTGCGCTTCACTGCTCCGGTCGTCAATCCTCCAGGGTGCCTGCCCTACCTTCTGCAGAAGCCCTGTCCATGTTTGGCTGCCTGCCCCTAGGTAGAAGTCTCCCAAGCTCAGCCCAAGACTACTGTGGTGGGAGGACAGATCCAAAAGTGTGTGCAGTTTAAGGCAGGCCTGTAGGACAGACCCTGATTCCTGGGGCCTGGGTCACCATGGCCCCCAGCCTAGGCTCTGGATGCTCCATGTCTCTCTGCCTGGGAGAGAGCCAAAGTCACCTGAAACTCCTACCTTGGCTGAGGCAAGATTTCATCTTCTTTAGCCGGTTGCTGCCTAAGAAACCAGCAAGGAGCTTCCTGGATTCTGCTCTAAAAACTGTTCCACCTTGGCGTAGGGGTCCAGACCTGGCTCCACCGCCTCCCCCTCACTCCTCCACTACACACCACACCCTGAGCTGGACAATGGCCTGAACCATCAGGACTCTCAATCCTGGGACAGACAGATCTGAAGCAGCCAGCCACTGTGCCACACAAGGGGAGCACAGAGCTCCCCTGTGACACAGGCTCCTGGAGGAAGTGATGGCTCGAGGTGAGTGGGAACAGGTAAGGTGAAGGGCATTGGGAAGAGTGTTCCAAGCAGAGGAAACAACAGGCACAAAGGCCTGGACGCTGTTCACAAGAGCATGTGAGCAACTGAGAGAAGTCAGCGTGGCAGGAGTGTGGGTGGAGGGGGACAGGGAAGGATGAGGTTGGCAGAGGCCTGATAATGCAGGGCTGGAGAAGGGTCAAGAACCCTAGACTGGACCCCAATGGCAATGGGGAAGGGGGACAGAGATTTTAAACTGAGGAGTGGCAAGATGAAATTTTCATTTTGCAACATGACTGGACTGTAAGGGAAGAGACTGAGGCAGGGAAACTGTCAGGAGGCTGCTGTATGCAAGAGCCGAGCAGGAGCTGAGGGCGGCCTGGAGGAAGGCAGTGGGAACAGCCACAGATGCATTCCAGAGATACAACAGAATTTGGTGATGGATTAGACAGGGGCTATGAGAGGGGGAGGCTGGGAGGAGGCCCAGGTTTCTGACTTGAGTGACCAGGTGGGTGGTAATGCCATTCACCAGGAGAGAGAACATGGGTAGATGAGCAGTTCGGGGGCATGGGAGTGAGGGGTACAGCTTGGGGCGTGTTGGGTCTGAGGCAGAAGGGGGAGGCAGTTAGTTATTCTCCCAGAATGTGTTGTCTCAAAGCCCACAGAGACTACCCTCCCCCTGACCTACAGCTCTTGTCTGCAGGCCCTGAGAGTGTCCAGGCTGGGAGAGCAAGGACACTGCTTCAATGTCCAAGGGCTGCTGACCACACCTGGACAAGCCTCCATCTCACAGCCAACACCAGAGTCACACCTGATGAGGTCTTCCACCCCAACCTGCCTCTGCAGACTCAAGCTCTCTCCCACCAGCCCCAGCCAGGCCTGGGATCACTCCCACCCCCTTACACAATTCCCACCTGACTTCTTCTCGTCCAGGCCCCCAGCCCCCTCCTTGCCTGGCTCTGCCCCATTCCACCCCACCCAGTGTCCAGCCTCTGAGGACTGAGGGTGGGGCTGCTCCAGTCCCAGCCCCCCTAGGATCGGTTCCTTAATAATTAATGAGACATTAGGAGAAAGGGTCCTGGTGGGGCAAAGGGAGATATCTGCACCCAGAAACTTGGAGGGGGTGGCGGGCCCTATGGCCTGTTGACCCCAGGGCTCATCCCTGGTTGGCCCTGCATCACCTCTGGGCTCTGAACGGGCTGGGAACGTCCCCTTCCCCCAGGGACCTTGGCTCAGACCTGGACTCTCCCCCTCAGCCTGCAGATTGGCTAAATCTGCCCTGTGCCCCGCCTCCCGCCAGTAACCAAGCAGTGGTAACCATGGTAACGGGGCGGGCTGCGGCCAGTCTTGTAGTGCCAGGCAGGGGGAAGGGCAGCAGGAAAGGGACCAAAGTTCAGAGTTGGATCTGGGTAGGGGACAATTCCACCCTGTCCAACACACACACACACACACACACACACCACACACACACACACACACACACACACACACGCGGACGCTGGACTTCAGCTTCCTCTGGCCAAACACAATCCTCCCCTAATTTCCAGGGTTGAGGGGCTGGGGGGAGGCAGATGTCCCTTTGCTTTGAAGGTCCCTGGTGAAAGGGGAAAAAGTAGCTCAGCGTCCTTACACTTGGATCTTGAGGATCTAGCCCAGGGTAAGAGCTATGGGTGGCTCTGGCTTCTGAGCCCTCCCCAGACCTGTGGATATATCCATACACACTCTCTGTGTGCTGCCCTCCATTCCCACACTGGCCCCCAAACACAGCTCAAACTGCCTTCTGCACAAATCTGCAGTGGTGGACACAGCACATGCCTGGGCACATCACACAATGACCACATGAATCCAGGACATCTGTCACCCCAACCCCATAAAAAAGGGTCACCCTACCCTGCAGTGCCTGAGACACACAGGCATTCCACAGAATGCTCCTTGGAAGCAGTGGCGCCAAGGTACTCCTTAGAGAGAGGCTGTCCAAGTGGGAGGGGTCTCTAGGACAGAAGGACTAGAGAGGTATCTGGCCATCCTGTCTCTCCTAGTAGCTGGTCCTGTCCCTATCCCAGAGTCCTACTAGGAGGAATGCCACCTCTTGACTGGGAGATCTGCACCTTGAGAGGTCAGACTTACTGTCACCATGGGCGCCTGCCACCAAACCAAGCATCACGAGTGCAGGCACAAGGGGCACCATCGTCCTCCCTGGAGCTGGCTCAGGGGCCATCCAGGGCTCTAGCTCCACAACCAGCCACAGCCCAGGACAATCAATCTGTAATGGAAAAAAAGGGCACAGCAAGTTAGCTGATATCCACCAGTGTCCCTATGGTCCACCCATGCTGCTTCCTGGCCCCTACTCATCCTCACTGACCAACCAGAGCCTAGTTCAACAGATCTCCCTTGGACTATGCAATGACCATCCAGACCTCTGACCCCTTTGACCACCCAGGCACCTCACTGATTCCTCAGTGCCCACAAGGACGACCCAACAATCAATCTATAGGGAAAGAGAGTGCAAGAGGCCTTCAGGTCATTCTTTAAACCTGAGTAGGGGGAATAGGGAGCTACTGAGAGTGGAGGAGTACAGGGATGTTCCATTCCAGATCTTGAGCTTCCAACTCACCCCATAAGGGGACAGGGACACAGGGTCAGAGAGACACAGAGACACACAGGTGGGGACAGAGACTGGATAAAGACAAGACAGTCAGAGACAGAGAGCAGTGAGGAGCTAGGCAGACCCACACAGGCCAGGGATTCCAGAGTCCCTGGGGGTCTGCTGGTACCCCTCTTCTCCCCAGCAGGAAGGAAGAGGCTGGAGGCCAGAACCTCCCATGCTTAGAACACAGACTTGTTAGGGCCGGTCCATGGCTCACTGGGAAGAGTGTGGTGCTGATAACACCAAGGCTCCGGGTTCGGATCCCATATAGGGATGGCCGGTTCGCTCACTGGGTGAGCATGGTGCTCACAGCACCAAGTCAAGGGTTAAGATCCCCTTACCGGTCATCT